CCTCGTCAGCCAGAAAAAACAGAGCACTGTGGAGTGCTCTGCTGCGGCGATGGGGTATATATAGGCAACTCATTTGTCCTGGTTTGTGGCTGGAACCGGGACTAAAGCCCAGCCTTCTGTCCCGGTTCAAGCCAAAAACCGGGACCAACGGTTGTGGGCCAGGAGCGAGGCCCATTGGTCCCGGTTCGTGGCTAGAACCGGGATAAATGGGTCCATACGAACCGGGACCAATGCCCACGAGGCCTCGGCCGGTCCCCTGGGCTCACGAACCGGGACGAATGCCCCCATAGATTCCGGTTCGTGACTGAACCGGGACTAATGGGCTTGTCATGCCCGAACCAAAGCCCTGTTTTCTACTAGTGAAACAAGATGGGCTGCAACACAATATAAGAAACTACTATAAAATTTTGATTTATTTTCTCTCAAGGGAAGACTAGTACTTAATGGAAAGAGATCGTGAATGAACCAGAAAAATAGAAAAATGAAGGTGAGTCCGTTCTAAAACTTTGGCCAAGAATAACAGGATATTTGGCACATGGCTCACCACGTAGCACGTACCTTGTTGAGGCAAAACAAAATCCACGCTTCATTAGGCTTTCATGTTTGCTAGTACACAACGTATATGGAAAAGATTATACAATTTTATTTTAATATCTATCAAAATTATTTAATATAATCGAGCGAGCGAGTGTTGGCTCATGATCAGCTCGTTTCTCGATTGAGCTACATAAAGTGCTCATTCTCAACTTATTTCTTTACAAGTCGAAACAAAATACGAGTCGGTCTTGAGTGGCTTACAAGCCTCGAGCTTTACTTGCATCCCTAGCCACCACGACTCCAATCCAACCATAGTTTTTATTTTCTTTGGAGGTCAACAACGGACTGTGTTTGTTTGTTGACCCATATTTTTTCTTTTCATTTCCCTATGTTTTAGGCTAGCTTTCGGTCTTTGTCTCCCTGTACATATTGCAACTGTTCTCCAATAATCTATGGCAGCGTTGTTGTCGCTTTTGTACAATAACATGTATAGACTTGTAGTAGATTGTCATGACCTTTCGTCACAGCTAATGGCTAAATCCTCACGTACATGCATGTGGTGGTAACATGCGGACTGTTCAGATCATAGCTAGAACACACATTAACTATCATATCATGTCATAATTTTTTATAGGCCACCACCATGAAAAATATATGAAGTACAGAGGACAATTCAAACAATCAAATTTAAATTACTGTACCTGCGGCCACCCCTCGGGAATATAATTTATACTTCTTGTTTCTTTTCTTGACACTAATTGGTAACTTGTTGGACGCGAACCAAGCCAAGTATGTACACCAACTATCTGACTTGACAGATGTAAGTTAGCTTAATATTGACTAATAGACCTAAGATGCTAGTCATGAACGAATCCATATCATTTGTCTGTATTTGTAGATGTCGAGTCATCTTGCACTTTTTGTAATCGCCCATTGGCCAACTAGCTATTATTTGCATGGATAAATTGTCTTATATGATATATGTTGCCCACTTTGTTACAATGGAAGATTTCTAAATGCGTCGAGAGGGTGTCCCTAAAGATGTTTCATCCATAGGTTTTACATTCTTTATTGAGAGATGTTGCACAAAAGCTGCACAATATTTCTAGTGTACACTACGTGAATTTGGTTATCCTGTTTCTTCGATGGACGTATCTCAATGCTTAATGGTGACACGCATATATTCCATGTTCTTCTGTTCTGGTTAGTCCATTGTTCGAGGTGATAAACATCTATATTACCATAAGCTAATCAGTCTTCATCAGCTTTGATAGATATGTACTCTATTTGAACTTTATTTAGGGAATTCTAGATCAGAATATTAGCAAGTAAGATACACATCAGACTATGCAATTACACAAATTTCAATACTAATGCAAGTTGCTGACCGGAAATCCCTTTTGGTGATCGAGCCCCAATGAGGCCTCCAAATTTAAACATTCAAATTTCATCAAAATCCATATTTTTATGTTTCAAAAAATTCTAAAAAACACAGAAATACATGAAGGCATAACACACATGTGTGTAAATTTTCAGGGCAAAATACGTTGAAATAAGGGCTGTGCAAAAAATAAAAATCTAGGGCTTTTTAACACATGATATTATTCATCCTCCCAGGCCATAAATTTGTCTTTGTTGTACAGGTCGTAACTCAAGGTATTTCATCATGAATATTTTACACACATGTGGGTTACATCCTTACATGCATGCATATTTTTTTGAATTTTTTGAAACATAAGAGTTTGAATTAGAATTTTTCAAAAATAAAGGGCTCCATAGAGCTCAGCCTCCAAAACGCCATTCTAGTTGCTGACATGTTAAGAACCACTTTAACTTGTATATCCAAGGACCGGGATGCAATTTTATTTTCTAGCGGTGGTTTTCTTGTATTGCTAAATCCATTAAATATAGAGCATGTGGCTCTGTTGTAGAAAGTTAATTAAATGGATTTTCCCGCCACACAAAAAAATTGAACGGATTTTCAACAGCTTGGTTTAATGTTTGGGGATCCGTATCAAAATTTACTCTCTATTGGGCCAGACTTTGCAAGTAAAACCAATATCATAAATGCAAGCTAATTAAACGGATCTTAACATTTTCATAACTGGTATAGCTACATGCTCTAATTTAATTAATGTGACGTGATCTTACCATAGTAATATTATTATGCAGTGCACAACTAGCAAGTCGACTAAAGATTCATAATATTACCACATCAAGGACTTCATTAACCAACATTTATAAAATGTACATCTGTAGATCAGATAATTTGGAAATATTCTCTGGATGGCACATCCATATCATGTTATCTATACCACGGGCTGATCTCCCAGATGCAGAGGCCGGGGGTCATCCTCCTTTTCTAAAAAAAAATACCACGGGATGAGCATTGTGATCTATGTGTCCAATGGATAAGAAACTAGGATACAAGGACCGCATCTATATAGCATCCATAGAGATTATAACATGGATGCACTTGACATACTGTCCACACCAATAATATATGATGGCATACAGGTCCATCCATACAATAAGAGCTACTTATTTCGCCTATGGATGCCGACGTGAAGAGAAGATCCGTCGGCATATACTAACAGACAAAAATAGTGGATCGCAAGGACGAGTTGCGGCGTCCGGAGACCTAAACCTAGGCTCTAATACCATGTTAGGAAAGCAACTTATCTTTATTGAAGGCCCAAGGGGCATATATATATTACACAAGACTTGAGGTGCAAGGAAACTAAACATAGACTAATAAGGACTCCTAGACCAATACTAATACTCCTTAACAGGGTCAAGTAGATAGTCATGACCTTTCACCAAAGCTAATAGCTGAGGTCGCACATGCAAGCATGTGGCGGTGACATGTGGAGTGTTTCAAATCTTAGCTAGAACGCACATGAATTATCACATGCATGCTACAACAGTTGAATGGCATCCGACGCATCCATATACTACATCCTGTCATGATTTCTTTTATATGCCACTGACATGAATCATATATTAAGTATTGAGTGCGGCGAATCTGCACCCGGGCTCAGCTGCACCCGCGCTCATGGAAAGAATCAAAACAAATTCAAAAAAAATTCAAAAAATTCTAATTTTTTTTGTGTGGTAGATAATTAGATGCGTGAGGTTCGCTGCAAAATTCAACTCGTTTGGACATTTGAGCAAGTCTGTGCAAAAAAGACAAAATCAGGGTCTGTGAAAAAGTTTACTGTTCACGAACTGTTTTGATCCAATTTGTCTTTTTTGCCGAGACCTACTCAGATATCCAAATGAGTTGAAATTTGGAGCGGACCTCAAGCATCAAATTATCTACCACACAGAAAAATTGGAATTTTTGAATTTTTCTAGTATTTTGTTTTGAATTTTTTTTGCTGACCGGGAGCAGCTGAGCTAGGGCTCCAGGATGAATTATCGAATTTAGATCTAGTTTAAATTAATATACATGTAGCTAGCCGCCCCTGAGGGATTTAATTGCATATTATAATTACAATATATATATCTGCAACTACTCCATGGAAATATAATTGTGTCTTTTGGTTGTACGCAAACCAAGGCAAGTACCGACGTATCTAAGGCATACATCTGCGTACCCCAACTATCTGACTTGACACATTTAAATTAACTTAAAAATGACGAATATACCTTATTAAGATGCTAGTCAAAATGAATCCATATCCATTGCTTGCATTAGTTGATGCCGAGCAATCTTGCACTTTCTGTAATTGTCCGTTGGCCAACTAGCTTTTATTTTTCGGATAAAATTTTCTTTTATAATATTTGTTTCCCTCTTTGTTACAATTGAAAGTTGCTAAGTGCATCAAAAGGATAAATCACCTAGATATAAGCAATGAGGGGCATGAAAATAGAAATCCCATTTATTTATAGCTTTTACAATTTTATCGGTATGTTGTACAAAGGTGGTGTATATACCTTGTGTTTAAGTGTACACTACATGAATTTGTCTATTTATTAGATGCACATATCTAAATACTTAACGTAGCACATGTATATTCCAAATTATTATGTTCAACATATATGGTATAATTTACTATCGCTTGTTAGTTCATTCTTCGATGAGATAAGCATTTATATAACCATAAGAACCATAAACTTGCCAATATTTAGAAATTATAGTGAATTTAGATAGTTGGCTTGTGAGGCATCCTTATGCGGATAAAAAACCCATACCTAATCCTTACATGGAAAACTAGTCATGTTAGATCCTTAGTTGGATTGCAGGTCTAAGTTGCATAGGGTGTTAAAAAGTCTAAAACAAAACTAATTAAACGCCCAAGAGAAACCCACCAGAGGTGGGCACTAGCACTCCAAGCATTCTATATATACGATACCTCTACCCTCTTATTCTCTCACAAAACACAACAAGATACAACTTGCCCCACCATTCAACTAGTCCATTCAGTTCTCTTTCGCCCTTCTTGCACACAATCGTCTCCATGGCTAGTCCATTCGGTGTCTTGGTTTGTTTACTTATAGTGCTACCACAAATCCTTGCTATTTCTAGCCCCATCGACGAGATTGCACCTCTTAAGACATGTCAGTTCCCTTGTATGACTGAGGTTAACTTGCACTTGTTCTTGCACCAATTCGTCGACGGGCCAAACAATCCAAATCGCAATGAGGAAACCTTACTCCAAGCAAGTTTTCCTTTTGGGTTTGGGACGACGATAGTCCATGACTGGACTCTTACCGAGACAACAAATTCCAAAGACACGGTTGTTGCACGTGTACAAGGTGTGCATGTCCAGGCTGGTTTAACCAAGCCTAACAGATGGTACACGACTCATAACATAGAGTTTCAGCAAGGAAGGTAATATGTTTTGCTACTTTTCAATATCTAAGTATATTTCATGAGTTCTTTGCCTGCAACATTAAATTTATGTCCTTACCTGTACTATATTTGTAGCCAAGGATTTCACACACCTTACTAGTGTATAGACACATATTAATAAGTGTGCATTTGTCAAACTCTACATGCACTTCTGACCCTATAACGGAACTTTCTATTTTGAACATGAAACAGGTTTGCGGGGTCCACCCTTCAAGTGATGGGTATAACCGCAGGTTTGGAAAGTGGGCAGTGGTCTATTGTTGGTGGAACTGGTCAATTCATTATGGCACAGGGTATAATAAGTTTCACAAATCATCCGGCCTCTACTTTTGAAGATGGTATTAAAGAACTCAATATTCGTGTACGCTTCACAAGGGATATTACACAAGCTGTAAGTACAATATTATAATTAAGTTTATATTCAAATTCTTGTGCTCTATTCGTTGAAGGGAAATAGATTGTACCGTACATATTATCCTACTGAAACTGCATTACATTAAGATATTTGTGGACATTCAAGTGCAGATGCATTAATGGAGGTTCTGTTTTAACGACATTGGCCATATTTAACTAAATCAAATGCTTGTTGAATGTTTTGTGCAATTAGTTTATAGGGTGTTGCATATCAAGTAATGAAGCTTTATATACGAATGCTTGACATGACACTAGCTATGGTTTCACTTTTCGCTGCAGGCTTGAGGTGTATCTCGTCCGTTGAAAGACTAGCGCCAATGTCAGTAATTTGATGGGAAAATGTGTTTGCATTTTGCTTGTAGTGTGATGGATCGTTGTTGTGGTCTGCCTGTGTCATTAGAGTATGCGTTAGCATACCCTCTTTCTATCTTTCATTCAAAATATCATGTGGGTTTCTCGCACGGTGGATATCCAGTCCATAATCTGTGTCAACCCATATGTTTGTTGGTGTCTATGTAATGTCTTGGATATGGTGTGTAATAATGGAGCTTGTTTGTTTGAGAAAGTGTTATACCCACATAATTATATTATTTGGATTAATCATGAGACAAGCATATATGAAAACTTAAAGCAAAATAAATTAATGAAACACAAGACAACCGTTATTCATACACTTAACAGTGTCTATCCCGAAAGCAGTTTACCTCAAGGACCATAAGAGCCCCAATGTTTTCCACAACGTTTAGAATAATTGCCAACAAAGATATCACCTAAGCGGCCATGACATAACGCAATCATATAAAAACGATAGCCATGTTATTTGGTAGCATCGGCAGATGCATATACATGTCTTGTACTCTTTTTGCAAATACACAAAAGATTAGTGCATTAATGTATTGCAAGGGGAAAATTTGATGTTATAGAATTGGGGCTCTTAACCACAAGGACCTGGGCTCGACCTTGACTCGAACAAGGCAGGGCTACAACGGTTGTACTCCCTTTGTAAAAAATATAAGAGTGTTTAAGGAGAGCGGTGCTACTGTGATGGGCGGCATCTGAACATGTTATCTTAGTCCATGGCAGAAAATATGGGTGGAAGAAATTGACGTCGACTGATGGTATACGAGGATGAACAGTGATGTACGCCAGTGCCCGGCTCGTCTTTTTGCGCTGACGAGCCGAGCCGTCCGTCAGGAGAACCTGACCCAAGGAGGCAAAATTTCATGTTTTGACCCTTTTTCGAAACCTATTCAAGATCTGACCCTAAGTTGAAATTTTTTCGAGATCTGACCATTTTTGCTACCGCCAGAGTCCATGGTGGTAGGGTCTAACAGCCTACCGCCAGGGACTTTGGCGGTAGGAAACATCTCTACCGCCAAACGGGCTGGCGGTAGCCTGCACAATCTTACCGTCAAGGTGCTTGGCAGTAGGCACAAGCACACACTGTGTTCAATACTTAGGCGGGTTTTGGCGGTAGGGCATGCAACCCTACCGCCAGGGTCCTTGGCGGTAGGCTATTATACCCTACCATCATGGTCCCTCGCGGTAGCAAAAGGGTCAGATCTTAAAAAAATTCTAAACTAGGGTCATATCTTGAATAGGTTTGGAAAAAGGGTCAAAACGTGAAATTTAGCCGCCCAAGGATGAGAAACGTAATCGCGTCGTCTGTTGCAGGGCCAACCAGCGGCCAACACGTGTACTGACGGACCCCATCACTCAAACGACCACATCTTTTTTCCTAATTTACAGAATATCTTTTTGCCTTGCCTTATCCAGCGGACTGCTGCTGTTCCACACTCCATAGCCTCTCCTTGTACAGCTCCGTGAAAGATGATTCCGACGAGGTGAGGTCCGCCGCTCGGCGCCGTAGCTGGCGGCCAGACGGAAGCTGTCGCGGCTAGCGCCGCCCACCTCCGGCCTGCTGCACCGCGTGGGGCAGTGGTCTTGACTGAAGGCAAGATGGGGTCCGTGCATAGCTCCGCTCGCTTCAGCCGCGCTACGCCGCACGGGGCTGTATCCTTGGCCGGTGGGAAAACGGGGGCCGTCGCGGCTAGCACCGCCCGCATCCGACGCGTCCAAGGCTGTGGCCGACCCGCTCCCTCGTAGAAGGTGGAACCACAGCGCGTGCACCCAGTGGGCGGGCGCGGCCGTGGCCGGTGGCGAGATGTCGCGGGAGGTCTTTGGGTCACACTTGAAGAAGGCGTGAGCTCGATGCATCTCAACGGACAAAGGTGATTCTAGTTGCTTGCTTCTATCTATGTACAGTACTAGCTAACCAGCTCTCACTTATCCACGTATTGACATATGCACGTACTGAAATTGAAAGTATACGAGCTATCCAGCTTCATCTATACATCTTCTCTCCTTTTTAATTACACAAGTGTAGGTGAAATCACAAATTGGCGAAAAATCCTTTCAAATTCAGTGCCCAAGACCACATTTAACTGGAAAACTAAACTGTGAAAAACTTACCAGCAACTAATCAATATCTTTCTTGACAGTAGAACAGTTACACATCTAACATCAAAAGGAATAGTAAGGTGAATACTACATCTCAAGGGGAAGTATTACATCTGAAGGTAATTGTTTTGTAGAGCAATCCTCAGAAGCAAAGTTTATATAGAGCTATTCAAAAGTGTTTCTCTTGTGCATGACTTGATTGGCTAACCAAGTCTTGAAAATAGAAAAGAACAATTTTGTATGAGAAATAAACTTGAATTTGAGAGTACGACTTGTAAGTGAAACAATACCTTAGCGGGCAGCTGGTCATTTTGATTTGTTGGCCATCCCGAACCCGGTAACACAAAGAACTCTACATTGTTAATCCAAAAGTTAATGCAAGTGAATGACCAGCAGAATTCTACATTTTGATTTGTCGGCCAGCCCGTGCCCAGTAACACAACAGAACTCTACCTCGGTGATTCTTCTGAGCGAAATAAATGCACTGGAAAGAGGAAGCAGTCGCCGACCCAGTCGGCCGAGTCCACCAGTACAGTGAACCCGGAGGCACCGGGATGGAGAAGAAGGTATACGTGCAATCACTACTGTTAATTTTTTTTTTAGGTTGCTTACCACTTGGACCATGTGGTAATCACTACTGTTATTAATTGCAAATTACTACGAAAAAAATATTGCCCATTATGAGATATTTTTGAGTGGCATTCGTACTGAAGGCACCTAAAAATTGTTGCCCATTGTGCGGAATTAACCTGTATAGCCTATCATGTCATTCGATGAGCTAAGAACAAAAAAGAAGTCTTGCCCATCCCCTGTTGGCATTGTACATAAGTTCAAGGCATTTGAAAAAACAGTGCATTTTAATTTCAGGTTACGAATTGGGCGTGCCCCTCCGGATAGAGCACCCTGTGCTGGTAGAGTCACTCCTTTAGAGGAAATAATAAGGAGATACGCTGATAAACCATCGGACAATGTAATAAAGCCAGAGATTGGAATGAGTTTTGATTCCCTTGGAGAAACATACGATTTCTATAACTTGTATTCTTGGGAGGTTGGATTTGGTATAAGATATGGCAAGAGCCGTTTGAACGTTGAGCGGACAAAGTGTTTGCAAGAGATTGTCTGTGAATGCTCGGTCAACACTTAAAACCTTTTGAAATTATCTTTGACATTTTCTTTCATCATTATTGCACTGGAATTCATATTTAAATAGTTGATAGAGGGGGGAAAATAGCAGGGAAAACCAGAGCAATAGAATAGCCGGTCTTGCCGCTGCGAGTGCACTGCGATGACAGGAGGGCAGGAGGCAAGAGAAAGGAGTCCCTGACTCAGTCCGTGGAATCGTCCGGGAAAGTGAATCCTGAGGCACAGGATGGACTAAGAGGTGAGATTGACTCTGCAATTTACATGCCTATGTCGATGGAGATGTCTGAAATTGTGCTTACTAGTATCGATTGGCGGGCCTCTTAGAACCTGATGCCATGGCAACAAATTAATTTGTGGTGTTTGATCGCTAATTCGTGGTGAGGCTGTAAATGCTGATCCATGTGTCAGTGATAATATGGTATGTTTGTACATAAAATCATGACACAAATCAAGAAATGTGATACCCTGCTAGAAAAACGAGATGAAAATTGGCTGAGAAATTTATTTGTCTATGTTGTTGCACATATCTGAAGCTGTGCTTAGTAGTGTTAATTGGCTGACCTCTCAAAGTCTCAGGCTGTGGCAAATGAATAAATTTCTGCTGCTGGTCACTGTCTGATGATGTAGTTGTAAAATGCAATGCTGATCCATTTTTCACAGATAGTACTGTCTGTTCTTAGGTGGATTTTGTCACTGATCAGAAAAATGGAATGAAACCATGCTAAACAAATAGATGTTGCTACCAAGTGAGCAGAGTCTATAAAAACTTGGATTTCTTTGTTGTCTTTGGTCCCGAAAGTACGAACGCCGACGAGTACTCTCCGTCGAATTCCGGCTAGCCGATCCTTTGGCCAACCCACGCACGTACATCACTAAGCAGGCAAGCAGCTGGATGCTTCCGATCTCCCGTGAAGCTAGCTTTGTACTAGCTAGTTACACGCTACGTACTAATCGCCGGATCGCTGGTTGACCGCTCGAAACACACACGCCAGACTCCGGCGAGTTAGAGCATCTCCAGCCGCGTCGCCAACAGGCCCCCTCAGGCCACTTTTTCAGCGTCGGCGCCAAAAAAACGGCCCAGTCACGCTCCCAGGACGCTGAAAATCGCCGGTTCGGACTTTTCTTCCGCCCGGCGGTCACAGGCCGAACCCGGCGCGCTGGTGAGCAGTTGGGGCTCCGGCGCTAGGGAAAAGCATGCCTGGCCCACACCGACAAGGGAAAAGTCAAGGTTTTCTTCCCCCGACTCGCCTCGCACCCCCCGCGCCCTCGGCCACCACTAGCTATATCCCTATTCCCCGCCGGAAAATAGCAGCGCTTCGCCACGGCACCCCTCCCACAGCAGCTGGGCGTTTCCGGCCGCGGAGGCACGGTTTAGCGGCGGGTACACGCCCACCGAGCACAAGGTGTTCGGCGTTTTTTCTGTCTCGGCGATGGACTCGGATGACGAGGAAGAGCTCGCCGCGCTGCTGGAGGAGGAAGTCGCGGCCGACGTCCAGGAAGAAGAGCACCTCATGGTGCTCGCCGCCCTCGCCCAGCTGCTGGCGAGCCATGAAAAGCCGCGGCGAGGTGGCTCGGCGCCGGGGCGGTTGAAAGCAAAGAATCAGCTTCGTCTTGAAGGCTACTGCATGCTCTACTCCGACTACTTCGCCAATGCTCCACTTCACGGCGAGAAAACATTTCGGCGCCGCTATCAGATGAGTCGAAACCTCTTCCTCGGGATTGTGAATTCCATCCGGGAGTTCGACAACTACTTCAAGTGCAAGATGGATTGCATTGGTGCTCTTGAATTCACCTCCATCAAGAAGTGCACGACAGCGATTTTTCTATGATGAAATATGTGATAAGAAATAATTGTGTTGATAATTGAACGTCGAGACACGGCGAAACCACGCCGAATATGAGCCTATTCTCGCCCATATGGGCCCTTTGTTCGCCGAAATTGGGCTGCAAAGTGGGCCAATTTCGGCGCCTGGGGGCGAGCTGGGGGCGACGACTGGGCGCAAAACCGTCCCCAGCTCCGATTGTATCGCCGGCTCGCCCCCAGGGGGCGATTTTTATGCGTCCTGGGGGGGCCAACGGCTGGATATGCCCTTATGGCAAACAGGGGAGTTATTTACCCAAAACCACCACACTTGAGGATAGAGTAACAATTTAGTACCATTTTTCAGACAGGGTACAAAAAACTACCAATTTTGTGCCTAATGACTAACAGGGAGCACTATAAGCACATGAAAACAGTGAAACTAACAAATTGGGCCCACCTGTCAGGCTGACGTGGCATGCTTGTGTGGACAATTTTCTGAGTTGGACAAGGGTCCCACCTGTAAGTGACTCATCTGTTTGTCTCTTTTCCAAAAAAATTAAAATCTTTTTCTTGTGGGCATTTCAACAAACAGATAAAGGGCGCTGACCTGCATGCCCACCCACTCTTGCTCAAAGTGCACTCGACCCCCAGAGCTGCTCCCGTCGGGGAGCTCGCCACCGGAGTGCCGTACCACTACTGACCCTCCTTCCCCTCCTTTCTTGCCTCGCCCGAGCCCTCCAGTGCTCGATCCAATCGTCGACTCGGCCGCCGCTCCAGCTCCTTGCGTGGACGGTGCCGAAGACCGCAGCCGCCGTGAGCTTCTGGTCATGCTCCAGGTTCCTCACGGTGTGCTCCTTCGTCCTTCCAACACACCATGTCGACGGACGGTCTCCTCGCGCGCGCGCTCCATCGACGACGGTAGCACCACGAGGAGCCTCGCCGGCAGGTGGGCGCACACCTCTAGCCTGCGGAGCTCGTTGCCAGCCTCGTGGACATGGGCGACATGAGCCACCATCACCTCCTGCAAAAAGTTCCGTGCTATAGCCACTCCGGCGAGCCCCGCCATGGATGCCATGGCCTCCGGCCGCGACCTCCCTGCTAGTCGCCGTTGCAGGCTGGAGGGTCCGGCGGTGCTGCTGGTGTTTCTTTGGAGAGGTCAAGCATAGGCGTCTTGCTAGGAGGCTCCCGCGGCCAAGGAGGCGCCGGAGTTGACATGCGGCGGCACGCCATGGCGGCTGGGCATTGGGGGAAGATGATAGGAGGAATAGGTAGAGGGCACGGGGAGAATGATAGGAGAAAAAGAAAGAGGGCACAGGGAAGAAGCTCGTCGGAACGACGGCGCTCGCCGGCCGGCGGGGCTCTGGCGTGTGCGGCTACCGCTGGATACAGCCGGCTGTGTCGGGGTGGGTGGAGAAGAAAGTGGCTTGGGGAGAGAGGGGGGGTAAATAAGAGAGGCCGACAGGTGGGGCCTTTGGCCACCTCAGCAAATTATCCATGTAGGCATGCCACATCGGCTGGACAGGTGGGCCCAACTGGTCTGATTCGCTGTTTTCACGACTAAATTCGAGCATCGGTGCTCCGTGTTACAGATTAGGCGCAATTGTGATGGTTTTTTGTGCCCTGACTCAAATGTGGTATCAAATTGTTACCCTAGCTCCAAGTGTGATGGTTTTGGATAAATAACTCCAAACAGGGCCGTGACGGTTATGTGTTTATTTCTTTGCTTTTGATCTCACGGTTCGATACATAACTTACAGTGGTAGGACATATATATATATATAGAGAGAGAGAGAGAGAGAGCACGAAGCACTCAGATCATCGAGACTCTCCACTAGAGCACCACTTCCTTTGTAATTTAGCCACCACAACTGCTAGTAGAATAGCCAAGAAGGCGCTTAGTTCGCCAAGAGTTTGAAGGTAATTTCCTAGTTGTGTGTAATCCCTTCGGAGCCTCCCGAAAGGGAAAACCATATGTAAATTATGTTGTTGAAATAATGTAGTTTCTTGGTTTCACTTAGTGCTTTTATTTATGAATTTATGAGACGAGTTCTTATGCTAGGGATCCTATAGGAGAAACCTCTGCGTGTGTAGTTCTTTGTGTAGCCCAGAGTGGCATTTGAATGAGAACCTTGTGGCCGTAGAGAAGTGTTCCCTTCGGGTGGAACTGTCTGGGAAGACGATAGGAATTTACCCCATAAATTTGCAATTAAAACCGCTAAGTGAACATAACTAGCTACATCTGATACAACATAATGATAAATATGGTGAGTACTGAGTAGGATTTTACACCTCTACGCACACCGTCGGACGAATTGTTGGCCTCGCCAGCCCAGAATAGATCCTGTATCAAATAAACAATCTAGTTAGAACGTGAAGGTAATCATATTGAATTAAATATTACTATAAATAGTGAAAGTACTATTCCAAATAGTGTTTTAAATAGTAAAGCACTTTTGTGAATAGTGCCCTACCTAGTGAATAGTAAATACTATTCAAGATAAAAAGTATGTCCTGTCTACCACTTTCACCTAATCACATATTAACCTAATCAAAATCTTATTTAATATTGATTAGAATATATTAGTAAAAAATTTATTTCCCTATATTATTGGTATCAGGTCCAGCGTTTAATCATTGAAAGGTTAAAATATTTAAACTTAGAAGTTAGCGCAGGTAAAGTAATAAATACTAAAGAAAATCTAAATTTAAGGTGTAGAGTAAATCCCTCTGAAGAGCATATCTGGCATACATCTCATAGTCAGTTAAATACAGTCGTCGATTTGATATATAACTTTTACATATCTTGGGGGAAAAGACAAGATAATTTAGACCAAAAATTTGAAAGTTTATTCAAAGAATACCAAAAGCTTGCTGATAAGTATTGAAGAAGTTATAGATATACAAAGGGATCTAGAAAGATATCAGAAAGATACCCTAAGAAAAATAAAACCACAACAAGTATATCACATGGGTATGTTTGAAAGTAAGAGTGGTCTATATAGAATATCTCGAGAAGTAGAATTAAGTGTGTTAACACATCCAGTAGATTTAAGAATTGTAAGCAAAAATATTGAAAATGAATTAAAATATTGTGGTTACAAATATATTCATCAAGGCATGTATATCATAGGAGTAAAAGGTATGACAAGGAAGAAATTAGGTGCGAAGGTTTTGATAACCTTATTAGACAGAAGATGGGAATCTGTGGACAAAGCAGCATTAGGATTTTTGGAAGGAGACATGAATAAAAATAGACTAATAACCTATATAGCTCCAGACCTAATGATGGCCATAAAAGAATTTATTGAAAAAATTAGTTTTGGTTTCCAAACTAAAGGTTATGAAGATTTTAAAGGAACAAATTTGCTAGTAAGCATAGAATTTATAGGAAGGCTCACTAATAGAAGTAGCTCCAAATATAGAGTAAATGTGAATGACGTAATTGATAGTATGCAATCAAAAGGTATAAAGTTTATGAATCCTCTTAAAATTGGTTCTGAAGAAAGAGCTGGAGAAGAATGGAAGATAGGTGAATTAATAGAGAAAAAAGAATTAAAGCAACCTGAAAACTACATAAGCTATCAAAATTGTGAAGGAAGTAGCAGCATTCGATTTATGAACTATAAAGCTGCATCAATAGAAGACTCTGAATCTTTTATGTCAGAATCAGAAATTAATGATGAGAAAAATAAAGGTATATCTAAATGCATGGAAAAGGCTGATTTAGATGATGAAATAATTCATCGAGAAAAGAAACTAAAGCATATTGAATGGGAATATAGTCATTCTATGACAAAGGATTGGCCTAAAATTAGAGAAAGAGAACTATTTATCATTAGAGAAATTGCAAGGTTGAAGAAACTAAAAAATGATAAAAAGTTTGCCACTAGTAGTTTAACCATGGAAGATAAAATTATAGTATCCGCAGAAAGAAAAGCAAATGCTATTATTAATAAAAATGCTATCATTAATAATGATAATAATAATAATAATAATAAGGATAAGAATATTGTTCAAAATGAAGAAGTTATTAGTGAAGAAGAGCAATGGGATATCAATAATAAGTTATTATTACAAAGTTATGAGGAGGAGGAAGAATTAATAAAAGAAATGTGGTTAGAAGATGAAAGATATGATGATTCAGAACAAAATAGTGATTTCTACAACTCACTAGATGATGTGGGACTTCATAATTTAGACAATGCAATGGAAGCCATGGGAGTAGAAAATAGTGGTAAAAGGAGAAGAGGATATGGAGAATCGTCTATAAAAAGAGAAGGAGAAAGAGAAAGACCTACCAGATCAGCTGGACAATGGCCTCTAGAAAAAGATGACTATCAACCTACATATATCCCAGGGCAATATAGATATATGGGTACTAAACGAAGAGATTTTGAAAAACCAGTGCAATTTCAGAATTATAAGAATGATGGCGCTATATTAAACCTAGCAGCTCATGATCCAATAGATTGGCCAAATATAATCAGCATATTGAAAGGTTTAATAGTGCAAAAATATATACAAAATCAGTATAATATAGGCACTAAGGTAGAAGATATGCTAACATATCTTGAAACATTTTTAGGAGAATCTGTAAAAGTTCTATGGGAACAATGGGTAGAGTCATACCCTAGTCAATATGAAGAATTAAAAAGGGCAGGAAGTAACCCTAATAATTTTGCGAATTTTATTTCAAATATGATCATAGCAGAAGATCCAGAATTAGGACATACCTCATTACAAAATGAAAGGTTAAGAGAAATAGAAAAATTAACATTAACAAGCTGGAAAGGTATAAAAGAATTTTCACAGCATTATTTGTATAATGCTACTACTGCTAAACAAGGTTTTAATGTAGGTGTAGTAGAAAGATATTTTAATAAGTTGCCTGATCCTCTAGGTTCCATAATATTTGAGGAGTATAAAAAAGAAACAGGAGGAAATGTGGTAAATATATCCCAAGCCATAACATTTGTTTTCAAACAATTAAGAAAGGTGTGTACTAGCATTCAAGCCCAAAGATCTATGAAGAAATCCGATTACAATTTTTGCAATAACATTGTCCAAATACCACTAACATATGGAGAAGAAAGGCATAGAAAAAAATATTATAAACCACAAAGGAGAGATAATAGAAATTTTAGAACAAAGAAAAGATATTTCTTAAGAAGGTCAGACAATAGAGCCCCATTCTTGCATAAAAGAAATGTAAGAAGATATAATCCTAAGAAAACCTATGATAAAACATGCAGGTGTTTCATATGTAACTCTCCTGATCACTTAAGTAGAACTTGTCCTAATAAAGACCAGAAAAGATACTCTAGCAAATATGAAGAACAAGAAAGAGTATTAATTATAGATAGCGTTAATGAGAATATATTAGTATGTGATGATGAAATAAAAGACGATGAGTCAATATATTCAATTATAGAGACAGATGAAGTAGAAAATGAGGCTCCAGAATATGAATCAAGTGAAGATGAAATAGACCTGATAGATGAATTAGCCGGTTTAAAAATTGAAATGATGAACCAAGTAGATTGTGAACATGATTGGATTAGAGGAAAAGGTGATTATAACATAAAATGTGCTTTCTGTATATATTACCCAAGCCAAGATAATAGGTTCACATGTAGCTTGTGTTTAAAACAAGCATGTGCCTCATGTCTAAGAGCCAATAATCAGAAGTGGAGACAAGAAATAGAATTAGAACCAGAAGAACGAATATTATCCAGTAGGGTTAGAAATTTAGAAAATAGAATAAATAAGCTAGAAGCGGAACTAGAAACACTTAAAGATGAGTTACAAAATAGTAATAAGCAAGACAATAATGTTGCTGAAATCACGGAAATGAAGGAGCAAATGGTAACAGTAAGGGATAAAAAAGGAGACAAATTAATACAACTGAAAGATGCAATTACTAGCTTTGGGAATAAATATATTGTTCGATTACCATTCAAAGAAGTGTTAGGAATAAGGATCCCAGTTAGGATTGTTCTTAAGCCAAATATTTCATATAAACTACTAGCACTATTAGATACTGGTTGCACTAAGAACATCATCCAT